AGCTTTTTTCTTTAATGAAAGATTTTACTTTACACTCGTACTCATTATCTACTTAGTCGTATATTCAATACGAGTATCATTAAGAAAAACATGAATGTATTATCAGTTGTTTTTTTTTCTATTGTAACGATGTCGAGATGTACCCATATATGGGTTAAGAAAAGTTATAACGATTTGCTCGTCGGATATAAAGAAAACTATTTCTCTGAAGATTACAAAAACTCAAGAGAATGTTTAATGCATGATCAACGCAGACATTCTCGTTAATCATAAAAGCATCTAATAAAGAAAAAATAAAACGGAAGCCATTAGCTCTCAAGAAAGGAACATAGCGTTAACTAATAGAGAATTTTTCATTTACTATCATATTATCTTAAAAAAAACAAATTTTTTGCTCTACTACCTATAATACAATTCTTCATTTTTTTTTCTTAGGTCTCTTAATATATTTTAGGTCATTTAATTGAAATATTTTTTTTTATTTTTTTGTTCGTATTCATCTGTTATAATAAATGAGTAAAAAACAAACCTGTAGACAATATTGAAGAAAATCTTCTTTATTAATAAAACCAGTTCTACTTCTATCCCAATTCTTGATGAAGAACAAAAACAAAAGTAAATAATTTAAAATATAAAAATAATTAATATACTTGAAATAAATGATCTGTTCGTTCTTCAATAGCAATAGCAATTGATGTAAAATTAAGTTTACCAACAGGAACCATTAATTGAAAAATTGATGCTACTATTTGACTTAATTCCTAATTAGAAATGAAATGGAAGATATTAATATAAAAAAAAAAATAAAAAAATTTTTTTCTATTTAACCGATTTTGTCAACATTCCATCTTTATTCAAATCATATAAATCAAATATCCAACTAAGACGATCTTCAACTGAACCATGAATAAGTATTGATAATGTTGCAATAAGATCTTCAAATCGAATATAACCTAAATTTGTTCGATCAATATTTCGAAAAACAAATGTTGAATAGCGAAAACATTCTATGGTTGAATATGGATTACATTCATTAATATATAAAAAAAAAGAACATACCACCACCGGGAAATAATGTAGAAAAGATTGTTGTAAAATGAGTTTTGCTTACTTCACCCGATGGACAATCCTATTGTGATTATTTATTAAAAAGACAATGATTAAATATGAAGATAACAATCATACTTGCTTAAATCTTCGATAGAGATGTCGAATTTCTTCTTTGGAGAAATTTGTTTTTCGCATAAGTTCTGCTATTGAACAAGTCGGTCTTCTTACAGTTGGTATTATTGTAGCATTTTCTATCAAATAATAGAATACATAAATAAATAAATGTTCATCTTTTTATTTATTAATAAAATATGAAAAACGTAATGATATATATATATATATATATATATTGTTATATTTATTTATTTACTTGCACATTTTTTTATACTCTGATTTAAACGACGAGCTTTATTGAGTGTTTGAATTGATGCTTCGAAAGCTTGCAACATGATTTTGGTATTTGTGATTAGTATGTATATTGATATATATATTTAGGAATAAAGAAAAGTTTGATTCATGTATTATAAATGTAAGCGTGTTTGTGATCAATGTAAAAAAAAGAAGAAAAACGGAACCAAAAACAAAATCTCGTGAGAAATCAAACGAATGATCATGATGAAGACGATTGTTTAGGAAATGCTTGTTAAAAAAAATAAAAATCAATAGACGAGATTCTTACCATTTTCAAATTTGTAATTATTACCAGGGCCACCTCCACCTGCTGATCGTACAACATTCATTAGTGTAACTTGCGATCAACTGGAAAATAAAATTGGCATGTCTTTTATTGTTATTGTTAAAAGCAGAAATATAGAATGACAATTTTTTCTAGTCATGAAGAAATTTTTGTCGTTCTCTCATATGTTTTTCTTTCTTTTGTTCATTTTTGAATAATCACCTTTTTTTCTTTTACTAACTAACATTAAAGTATGTATGTGTATGCGAGCATGTTCTGCATATGTCATTTCCGTCATAGGACCACTGACTGATTTCTTTGCTATATAATAAGCTAATAATCTCATTCTCAATTTACATCAAAAAAAAAAATTTATCATAAGCAGCGAGTTGAATATACGATATAGTATAGTTCTATTAATAAGAAAAATATGTTTTTTTTTTCGTGACAAAAAGTTTTTTGTTTGAATTATTTTAATGAATTTAATTGTAAAAAAAATATATGCAAAACTATTCTAATTATTGCTTTCGTTTAGCAATTTTTATTTCTCTGCGAAGAATTGAAGTATAATACAACCTACTAAGAACCTTTTGTCAATAAAAAATAAGATCAAAAAGGGAACGAAGTAAACTATATTGTTGTGAATAATAAATGGTACTAACTAGATCAAAACAACTAGTAATAACAATTGGTTTCAATCACGTTTTGCCTGAATAGATGAAGGTTACGACTAAATATTACTGTTCCTATCGGATATGATGACATGCGCGAATTGGCGCATGTCTCATATGGCAATCTGAATGCTAAACGATGCGATAATTGTAGAAGTTAGTTGTACGGAAAAAAAAGCAACGAGACAAAGCATAAGTAGAACAAGAAGAAGGAAGTCAACAACATTTTCCTATCAAATGCACAAATTTGCTAACAAAAGATTAAATGCACTGCAGGCATTTATGTTATAAGATATATACATTCACACTAGAAATAATGCTTATATTCCATTAAGAAGATTGCAAGATAACATGTCACGTATATATTCTTTCCTTTAATAGAATCAAAAAGTCTTTTTCTTATAACTTAATAAGTAAAGAAAAATAAGAAGAAAAGTAAGAATCAATACGGGATATTATATTTCAATTATATCAAGTAGATATTATAACTGAAAAAAAAACATACCCTAATCGTTAATAATTAATTATATGTCGAAGTTGGATTAAAATCAATTATGAATTCAATCAACAACATATAGAAAATGTGTACAATTATTTTTTTCGAACTTGTATATATTATTATATTCATCTGTCAATTAATATTAAATTCATTTATAATTTGATAGATATAAATCAAAAAGAAACACACAGATAAGACTAAATATTTTTTGTAAAAAAACAATTCTATCTAAGTTATGAATACTCATACAATATTTACAATCAATCAACTGAATTAATTTCGAACTGTCTCTAATGAATAAAATGCGTTTTTTTTCCAAGGAAATGCTCATGTTTTTAATTAAAATAGTTTATTTGCATTTGAAAGAAGTTTCTTACAATAAAAAAACCATGGTTGATTACTCTTTTCTAACTTACAATTTTTATTACTTACCGCATATATTAATTCATATTTCTCTGATGACTTTGCCTAGAGATTAACTGACTTTTTCAAACGAATAATACAGGGCAGACACAAGCAATTTATAATATTTACGAGTTTTAGATCAAAATGTATGATCAATATACGACGATCCAAATATCTGTATTAGATATTCTTGTAATTTTTACATAATATAAAAGAGGATCAGATATCGAATATCGATCTAGTTAAGATTTGACTCATAAGTAGACTTTGGTGAGACCCATCGAAGTCTAATGAGCTCCGGATTCATGTCTTATTCCATCAAAGTTATGATCGTTTTATTAAGGTTTTCAGTATCTAGGACAGATGTTCATAGTAACCTGATCTAGGAAATTTTCTTTTATAGACACCTCTTAAAACTACTAGAATATTTCAAAACCTTTAGTTCAAACGAATGTATTTTACATGAGATATTGAAATATCCAACAAATGATCATGTCTGACAGGCAAAGCAATAGATTCAATTGATCGTTAATATTCAATATCTTAAGAAAAATACATTTATTTGAATTGAAATTTTTAGAATATTCTTCTGATCCTTAGACATGTTTATGAAAGAATTTTTGATGAAAATCTCATGATTCAGATTTGTATGAACACCTGGCCTAGAAATTAAAAATCCTGATAAAATGGTCATAGTTTTGACTGACTAAGACATGAATCTGAATCGTTGAGGCTGTGACTAGCTCCATCAAAATCTACTTATGAGCTAAATATGACATCGATCAGCATCCAACAATTGAGAATGTTCTCATGGAAGATTGATTAAAGAATAAATGTTTATATACCAGAAAAAAAGAAACTCATTTGATATGATTGACATCTGCATCTTATACTCTTCCTTATTGCATACATAAGGAATTTTCATTAGTGACAAATGCTCAAATAGAATTTGATCTTTTACATATTAGTTGCCGTGTTCAATATCTTTCTTGTAATTCAGTAATATTTATATATATATATATGATTAATGAAAATTTTAATGAATGCATTCTATCATCTATTTCATAATGAAAATTACGTATGTTAAATACTCTTTTGAAATTATATTTGACATGAATTATGAACAAATATTATTAATTATTATTTTCATTGTTTTGTTCTTATCAATGAAAACAAAAGAAGAAGAAAATGAACATAATACAAATCTATTTTATTGAATCTTTTGTAGATCGATAGTGATTTGCATAATGTTGTTTTATCTTTATATGCGCATCGGAAAATCCATTCATCTTATATTTCCTTTCTTTAGAATATCTTTACTATTCTCAATTTCATCGATTGATTGCCATTTACAAACAAGTGTATAGACGAAGAATAAGAACCCTTAAAGAAAACAGATAAATCCAGTATACTTATTATTATGTCTTGTATATTTGAGTGGATCCACAGTTATATCTTAAAATGTCATGGTTGACGCACAACAGGAAAAAAACATGTTGTTTTATCTTCCAATTCTACTAAAGACAATTAGAGAAGTCTGGAAAGAGCATAATAATCAAACATATGGCTTTAATATTGCTAGTTTTGATGTTCTATCTGTACATATAAAGACACATACAAGATCACAAAAGAAAACAAAAAACAACAGATTTAAAAAGAAAAAAGAAAATGAAAAAAAAAAAGATTAAAATAAAATCTACTAAAGTTGATCATGGTCATCATGTGATGAAAAATAATACATCGGAGTATCTGTTGATTGTCCGCCAGCTGTACTACCAATGCCGAAAAAGCTAGTTTGTGTATCCAATAAATTGGTTCTCTACAATGAGATGATAATAATAAAGGTTATGGATAATAAAACTTAAGAGAAAATTATCGAAGAGAGTACTGTCATTTAGTGTTCGTCCATCCAGAAAAAAAATAGAGAACATGATCTACGAATGAGATATCTTCTATCGTTAATTGACTCATGAAAATGCTATCATTTTAGAAAATGATGGAGAAAATGACAGGAAACGACATGCGTAACAAATCACTTTCTAATGGAAAACACGTATACATCGTTTAGTATCTCATACCAATGAAAGAAAAGAAACAATGAGAATAACATCTGTTTGACATTGAGAAAGAGAGTGAGAGATAAAGAAGATGAAAGTTTATCAATACGACAATCATGGATGACGTTTCTCAGAGAAAAAAGACATGAGAATATAACAATACAATGTTTATATATATCTTTTTTACGGATTACTGATGGGCATTAGTAATTAAGCACATCGAGGTAAAAAAAAATATACGTTTAGATTTGTTCGTTGTCTGGTAATATAGAGAGTAATAGACTGTTGATAGAACTGATTCAGACCATTTTTCTTTCTTAGTGTTACATTGATTGATTTACGAAAAACACGTATAATCATTTAAGACGGATTTTGACAAAATACAGAACCGCAATATACGCAATACAGATGGATCAAATGACATGTAGACTATGACTAACCCAATAAGTAGAAAAAGATGAATGATAGTGGAATAATAAAAAAATTATAGGATACATATAATATACATCTGGTTACGATATATTTATTTGTATAGATAAATATGAATATAATCGTATAATTATGACAAGAGTTTTTTAAAGTTATAAATATTGTTTTCTTTTTCTTCTCTTATTAAGTGTCAAAATGATCTATATCATCAACCATTGAAATATTAAATCAATTGAAATTTGAACAAAAAAAAGCCATATATATACATATATATATATACATATATAAATTGTTTTCCAAAATATCTCTTTTCTTTTTATTAATTATTTCTATCTTTCATGAAACTCAATATCATGCATACGCGTGACAAAAATGAAAGAATAAAAATAAAACGAACAGAAAATTAAAGATGAAGCTATACAAAATACAAAATATGCCCACTCATTTATAAATCATCACGGCCAGCACCCGCGTCGAACAGGCGTGCACTCACCTGTCTTCCACCGCCTGGACCACCTCTTGATGATGGTTGATTAACTGCTGATGAAACACCCGATCCAGTTGTTGAACCAGGTCCACCACCACTTCCGACACGTTTATAAAATTGCCATAATTGTTGTATTAATTCAGTGACAACTAAATCACTTGAATTATACGCAAGAAGTCTTAATATAAGTACACCATCATGTTGTAAATAACGATGTATAAATTCTTTTGCTGGCATTCGTCGTAGGTGTGCGTCACTTTGCATTAATTCAAGACGTTTTTTTATATAAGCATAACGTACACGACCAAATGAACGAACAAACCATGCTAATAAATCGTACGTATTACATATAGTTAAAAAAGCAAGCCAAAACCAAATGAATAGAAATGCTTTTTCATTAAATAGATTGATCGGTAGTACACACTAATATTAAGAAAAAAAAAAAGGCAATGAGAAAAAAATAAAATAAAATAAATATTTTTATCTTCTTTGTTTTTTTTTCTTTCGATTCTTACCTGTACGGTATGAACATGAACATTTTGTATATTTCTAACAGCAAATTCGCATATAGTAACACGTGGAAAATAAATTGATTCAGCAAGTTCTTCTCCATTTAAAATTTTTTTTATTAAATCAACTCCATATGATGCAAAATTATGACCCAAAAAGATATTCAATAAAAATAATTGTCCAACAGAATTGACAATAAATAAAATTTTTGTAACGAAAAAAAGTATTAACAAATATGAACCCATACGACGTCCGGGTACACAAAGAATAAATGCTAGAAAACGACGTATAAAGTCAAAACGTTTTCGTTTTCGTTTACGCATATAAACATATTGATCTATAGATCGAGTTAAATAAGTTATAATTTTATTACGATCTTCAAAACGATCGGCTGTTTGATAATTTAATGCTGCATCGACTAGATTAACTATATTAATGCCTGATTTAGCTGATAAGGAACGCCACAACATTCGTGGCAAATAGAATAGGACAGCTTGGAAAAGTAATATAAATGGAGTCCACTGGTAATACTGTAATTTAAATAAAAAATAAAACAAAAAATATATTTTAAAGTTTTAAATTTCTTTTCTTCTTCTTACTAATTACCTTAACAACACGAGTTTTTTTCTTATTTTCGTCTAAGGGTAATGTTTCAGCTGTTGCAACATAATATGTATTCGATACCCAACATATATTATTTGAATAGACTTCGTATGAACGTGTAAAATGTCCAGGTACCCAACACGCAATATGATCTGATGAAAATTGTTTATTTGAAACAATAATCGAAAATATGACTAGAATAATAACTGTATATTTATAGTTTAAACGATCGACTGTAGATGTATCACTACGATGTGGTCCGAGAACCGAAAAAGGTAAACGTGATACAGTAGCAAATAAGTCCATGATAGTTTTCTTTAATCAACAACCTAATTAAACAATGACAACGTTTGGATGCCATGCGTTGGTGACATGAACATAATATTGACATCGACGCAACAAAAGAACGAAAATTAAATGAATTTGAACAAAAATAGTTATATTAATAATTTATATAAATAATAATTAATGATCATTTCGAATTGTCTCGATTTATTAGCTGTGTGTAGACAAAAACCTAGATGAAAAGAAACAAAAAAAAAAGGAATAGTCAATTGACAAATATGTTGGTCTATCATTTAAGAGAATGATTATATTGGACAATCTTTAGCTATGGTAAGAAAAAAAAGATAGTTATGGGCACCACTCGTCTTTTCTCTCTGTCTCTATCTCTCTCTCTATTCCTTGTTCTCTTCCTCTCCCTTTCTTCTCTTCATTATCTCTCATTTATATACAACAAAAATCTTCCGTTGCCGTTCCTAAACCCTCTCCTATGATGCTCTCACAACCTATGATAAAAGAAAAAAAAATTATAACAACGTCAATGAAATGAAGAGGATGACGACGACACGGTGATTACACTACATCCGTTTCCGATTCTACCAACGGACGATCGGACAGTGCAGGCATTTTCTCTCTCTCTCTCTCTCTCTCTCACTATCTTCACTTTACTATATTGATGACTGGACTTCCGAGAAGAGAAAGAAGGGAAACTGATGATGGAATAATTGATTACAGCTGTATATAAAGCGAGAGAGAGACATTTCTAGTTTCTGTCTCATCAAACAAATAATGCTCGATTGATACTACTCAATAGGAACAAAAACGAGCATGAGTTTTTGCGGTACCACCCTCTTTCTCTTGTCTATATGCTGACGTACACAACATGTTGTTTGATGAGATACACACTAAGAGAGTTCTCCAAATAATGCCACTTAATACTTCTCTTTTTCTTTTTCTCTCTTCTCGCTCTTCTGGAAAAGTCATTTGTCATCATCATAATCATTGAGAAGAACTTCACCCTGTCCATTTAATACAATGAAATGTGAATATTTTGTCTTTGTATACACATTACCTGAGAGAGAAAACTGATGGTTGCATTATCATCATGGCTTTTGTCTTGCTTTTATCTATCTCTCATTCCTATCTCTCTCTCTCTCTCTCTCTCAATGCGTATCCTCCGTGGACGAGCGCTTGGTTCCGGTCTCTCGAGTTGATTATCCAAATATTATCCTATACTCACTGCACTACTATTGCTGTTGCCATCTTCCATCATCATCGTCTTTGCCGTTGTTGATAATGGCGGAAAGCAGTTTTTTCCCGCGAGCAAAAGAATCGAAATGATTTTGAATCGTCAGGGCACATAGTTAACTAGAACTTCTGTATGATGGTGTGCATCGATTGCGGTTTTTCTTCTCTTATACAACAACAATGACGAACGGAAAGAAACGATTAACGGCGATGGAAAGAGAGCGAGAAAGGAAGATAGAGGGAAAAAAATCAACGAAGACTTGTGCGAATATAGAGAGGAAGAGAAAAGAAAATGGCTATGGTGATTAAGATCAAGGACATTGAAGAATAGTAGGTTTAATGATTCAACACAAGAACACATTAAAGAATTTTGTTAGTTGTTTAATATTGGTCGAATACATATGGTAAAAGGCAAAAAAAATATACATACCATTTAACATTTATCATTGTAAGTGAGAATTGTCTGCTGATTTCATCATATACTAATTTATAATATGATGTATTTGTATATTAATTTTCAACTGTATAGATGATATCTGACGATTATCTAAAATGACAATAACAACAACAACAAACGACTAACTAGAAGAAAGAAATAGTTCGAAACAATGAACATATGTGTTGATCTGACAGAGTATATAATAGAGAGACAAACATTGCCAGAAAGAATATGTCGATGATTTAGAAATGAATAGCATCTCAAATGCAAAATGATTGCCTTCATATGTAATGCTCAACAAATGGAAGAGTGTTTTTACTAATAAAACTAATCATAGTATGATGAGGCCTAAAAAAAAAGAAAGAGACTCAATGAATCTTCTGAATGATGTAATATATATCAATGTAAGATGATTTTTTTCTGGTTTCCTCTTCTATTTCGTCTTCATCTCGATCTTCTCCACTTTTATAATAATTAAGCACTGTATAAAGAACAAGGATTAAATGATAGATTCTGACATATACATAAATCTAAATGATTTTGAACTAACAATGACAATAATATCATACTGATATGAAAGAAAAACATTCACGACTAGAATTACATCCACTCCAACAATTTCGATAGTAAACATGGTTTCCGTCTATAATACAAGTGTAAATATAAGAAAGGAAAAAAGTGTAGAATGCATTTTTACTATCAACGTTATTTTCTTTAGTTATAATAACAATCATAAATAATAACTAAAACTCGAACGTTTTCTCTTCCTCGCATTACCTATTTCTCTTGTTCACATTGATGTCGCTCAAGTGGTTTACCTGTAAATTGCTCATGCACACTCAATGACAGAGAGAAAGAGAGAAAGAAAATGATATATATTTTTTTTTTGAAGACGACTATGATTATCACACCATTTTTTTCCTTTTCCTGTGTAATTGAACGAATATAAATGAGAATAGTAAAATAGACAGTAGTAACATTAACAGTCAATACAACTGTTATAATGAACAAAGAGACAAAATAATCCAATTCTGTTTGTTTTTTTACATAAAAGTTTTCCTTTATTCGTACAGTAATCTTAGTAGTAAAACAGGAAGTGAACATCCCGTTGTCATCTCTCTACATGTCATTTGAATTATATACTTGCAGTTTGCGTGATGTCATTGTGATTGTATGTGTAGAAGAAACTTTTTCTATCTAACATTACAGGAAAACAAGTAGTTGATCATCTCGCCAACGAGATAAAAAAGAGAAGAAATGCGCATCAATGCTTAAACAGATCCGCCCCTTATTTGTTTCACTTTGAGAAAAGAGGCAAGAGAAATGCGTAAGGGAAAAAAACATATAATAACTGTGAGAATTTCATGTTGATTGTATTATTTTCACTATCACTATCACTATTACTATCAATGAACTGTAATGCATGTTGTAAAAGCAGTAAGAGTTTCACATTATTAAATGATAACTACTATCCTCAGTCTACTATACACAGTAAAATCCATTGAGAATAGCTGTCGTCATTTGGTCGTTTTTTTTTTGAGAGCAAGGCGAATAGTGAGAAAAACTATAACAAATAACTGTAGTCGTTAATTTACAAAACAGAAGAAGAGAAAAATCTGATCTTTCTCGCTCTTTCTCTCTCTCTCTCTCTCTCTCTGATCACTCACACATATGCATATATACGAGTACTAAAGAGATCGTAGTTCTATCTCAAGAGCGTTATCAAGCCCGGCAGCTAAAGAAATAAAAAGAGATATGATCAAATATTGTGGAAGACGAGAAGTTTACAAGTACAAAATGTAATCAACTATTAAAAAAATTTTTTTCTCAATAGTTATTTCTTCTCTAAATACAATGAAATTTGATTGGTGACATTGATAAGAACAATACAATTTGAATTTAGAACAAATATTTCAAGAAAAGAAAAGAAACAAAATAATACTATTCTTGATAATAAATTTCCCAATAAGAAAGGAAAAAAAAAGACGATTGTTTTTCTTCTTTATTTCTTAGAACAATACATAAACTAAAGATGATTGACACTTTCTAATAATCCCAAACGATGATAAAACTGACAGACGATGATACTCAATATTCCCAGACGGACAACTATCAATATCAAGGCAAACTGACTATAAATGTCGACTTATATTGACACAACGTGCATATACACAGTATCATGTCTATTTTAGTTATCATCATCAGATGTCGCTTGTGCTTGGAATTATATCTTAAACTATCATCAAGCCATACCATCATCTTCATCATAACAAGAGATATTTACCCATTAAGAAGAACTATTGACTATAATCTTGCAATATATATATATATATATATTGGAAAATTGCGTGTGTGCATAGACCTATTCTTTTTGCATGGTGTATATTTATAAAAATATTGCTACTATAATATTAATTAAAGTTAATTCTACTCCACCTATTTAATTAATATATATTGAGCGTTTTTTTTTCGATTATTACACGAACAAAAATGATCGATCAACTCTGTATCGATTTCTTGAACTAACATCATTCATGATTTTGTTTGTAGGCATATCAATCTTTCTCATTCAATCATATATATATATATATATATACATAATTCATCCCATGATGAAAATGATGGCATAACTGCTATGGTCTATCCCTAGAGACGATTCTACTAGTAGTTCATCATCAATGAACATTGATAGAACAAGAGTGAATAAGAGAAAGTCAAATATTTGTTAGGAATAAATATGAACACAGATGGGATGGAAGAATATTTCTTTTTTTTTTTATCACGTACATTTAGTTACGTAGAATATATTGATGCTAGTGAACACATAGCAATCAACTGAACATCATTGGCCAGTGTTGTGCACATACGCATGACAGACATAAGTAGCATGTCAGTTGTGGCACGCAGTAGGCCAAAAGTGACATGCGACTTGTTGTCATCATCGCTTCATCACCAACATGACAGATGAGTGTATATATGTATATATATATACATATATAGGAAGATAAAGCAAATGAAAAACGAATAAAAACATCAACAGCTATATTTCCAATAAAATCACAAATAAAATAAAAGCGATAGATTTTTTTCAGTTATGATTGATTGTTAATAGGAAAAAGTTATTTTTGAATATATATATATATATTTTTTTCTTCTTTTCCTTCTTTTTTTCTTATCTTTATCTTGTCTATAGTTGTTATCTTATTTCGGTTGCTCTTATTGCTAGTGATTAGATCTTAATGAAAGGAAATGACAAGTTCCGACTTTGCTTGTGCACACTACTTTCTTTTTACATACATAACTATGCACGCATGTATGCATGCAAAAATCGATTATG